AACCATAGGCTTGATTTATAATTACTTGGTAGGCTCTAAATTTGGGTTGAGAAAGTATTTGAGTTCTTTAGCCCAACACAAATCTATTAGCCCAATACTAATTAATAACTCTACCACAAGTTCATTCTCCTAGCCCACACCTTGGCCCAAATATCCTAAAATAAATGACCACCCTCATAAATCCACTCACTCCACATGACTCACACATACACAAACACAATTTGACATGCACACACACCCCAATAATGCACATACATCTACCAGCAAACACATTAAATTTCCTTCATTCTATCTTATTTCCTCCTCTGAATTTTCTTTCTCTCTATTCTTCCTTTAGAAAAGAACAAATTACCCGTTTACTCACAACACATAAATCCTAACACTCCCAAAAATCAATATAACCCCAAAAGCAAAATATGGCAGCAAACTATTGACATAACCATAAGTTCAGGAATAGTAATACTTCAAGGTCATTCTTATTATCCTCCTCTTTATTTTCTCATATCATTTTAATACCTTAAATACCTTATTACTATATTTTATTATTATTATTATTTTATTTTTTTTTTAAAAAAGCTACAACTTAAATCTTATTCCCTAAATTTTGAGCCACGCTTGCAGAATACTTAGACATGGAATTAGGTTCAATATTTCTTATGATTTTTATGGCATTTACCCTAACATATTCATCTTCTGCTTTAATTTTTATTACTTGTTTTTACTCAGCTTTTTCATTTGAGTTGTTAGCATCTTAAACCATGAATTTTTACATTAAAAGAGTATAAAGGTTCTGCAAATCACCTCTCTTCAGGTTTAAAATGGAAGGAGGAACTCGATTGAAAGCTAACGGCTCGCGTGGGGAGGAGCTGGGAGTTTGGACTGAAGCTTGTCGCGCGTGGATGGCTCGGGCTGAGGTCGTGGTGGTGCTGGCCGCTCGTCGCCGGCGCGGCTTTGGCCGGAAAAATGGGAGCTCGCCGGAATAGAGGTCAAGCCATGGAGGTTGAAGGAAGAAAGCTTGTTTTCTTTGGTGGTTGAAGGTGAATCTTGGACTTTGAAGCTAGATCTTGGTATTAGGCTAGGACATTTTGTGTTTATTTGTACAAGATCTTGAAAAGAATGAAGGTTTTCTTTGGAGATGGAGATCTTGAAATGATGATGGAGATGAATAGTGTAGAGAGGCTAGGGTTTCTTGTTGTTGTTGTGTTGGGAGACAAGGAGACAACTATTTATAGATGGTGTAGGAGACTAGGGTTTTGCTCTTGTTATTGGGCTTAGTATCGGGCCTAATAGATTGGGCTCGATTATATATCGGTTTAGGCGTAGGATAATTAGTCGACTCGACTTAGAAATTTGAAATGCTCGGTCAAATAAAATATGACGGGCTTAAAATAATAATCTCGACTTAGACCGAAAAATAATATTGGCCTCGGTATAAAATAATTGGGCTTGAAATAAAAATACTACGAGGGTTCGATATTTAAAATGTCGCTTGGGCTTAGAAATTAATTCGACTACTCGAATTAAAATGGGCCGACTAATTAAAATAAATTCAACTCGAGCTTAAGAAATTAAATTCCGTTAAATGGACCCAATAAAATGTTGGGATCGGTAATTTAATTAATTGGATGCTCTCTTTATGGCTTAGACTTGA